CTTTTCAAACAAACCAAGTATCATTTTCATATGTAAAGTTTTGTATGCCATGCTGCCTGCCATACTCTTGTAGATGTTTTGGTGTGCTCACTTCAGCACAGACGAGTCAAACAGCCCCTTCATACTGAGTAAGCTGATAAAAGCAGTCGATCTCATTATGTTTGACTTGTGGGCTTGAGTGACTCCAAAGGTTGATTCCTACATGCAGTCTTAAAACATCTTAAATATGGTGGAGGGCTTGCCTAGCTTCTCATCTCTGGGCCATCTTTTACCATGGAAGAAACTAGACCAGATGAAGGTAGATTTATGGGAACTTTGGAAAACTTAGCTTTAGGTAGAAATAATGTTATCAAATAGCTTGAAAATATCCTCAAGAGGTTTCTGGGTGATGTTTTCTATTTATCTTTGGTAGTTGTCTTTGGAGACAAGTTTTAGGAGAGAACAAATGCATAAAGAGGAGACTCTCTTCTTTTCCCCTGCAAAGGGGAATTCCTTGATCATCATTCTTCAAACAGCAGATTTGGTTATGTTGTTCCTTTTGCTTTCATATTGTAAACCTACATATCCTGTCCTCATTCCCGTAGAAACGAAAGAGCTTTTCTCGGGAGTGCTGGCTTCTGTTCAGTATTCTTTTGTCTTCCCTCCTAGGAAACAGTTTGAATGTGTCAGAAGAGTCCTAGTTCCTCAGCACTGAGTCTGGCCAAGAACCTGACCACATTGGTCTGTAGTATTTCTCTCATTAAAGCCTGCTTCTTCCCCTCAGAAAAGTCAATTGTGAACGTAACAAAAGATTAATTGTGGAGACTTGGGATTTGGCAGAACTGCGAATAAATGAAGTGCTTTTTTGGAAGCTGTCTTGCAGATCAAAATATAAATGCAAAGGATTTCAATGTGTATCAGTGGATTATTTAATTTGATTGCCACTTCCCTTCCTCTTCATTTTGTGGGGAGGGGTGCTCCGGAGATTGGAATTTTAATTACTTGACCACAGTTTCTTATTAGCGTGCACCGAAAGGGTATGGATCATTAATTAGTACTGAATAGAAGGGTCTTGAGGTTGAGCTATAGCATCAAATGGTTGAGTTTAGGCAATGCTCGACTGAAATTATAGTCTATCAGGAAATTGAGTTATAATAATGAAACCATTAGATTTTTTTCTCAGTCCGTGAATGTTAGTTTCTGTGTTTGCAGAGTACATTCTGATGGGCTTAAGGAATGTAGCATTTTGATAAGATCATATTTAATGCTTGTATATATATTAGACATATATCTGTTCTGAAGGCATATATATGCATGCATGCCTATAGAATAGTTATACATAATTCAGAGTTGCTATACAAGGGCATGCTTTATTTAATGTTATTAGATGTTTTGGGGGTTTAACCCATTACGTAGTTTCATTGGCAATTTATAAAAACAGTGTTCTGCATAGCAGCTTCCTTTTTCAGGTGGTACCTGGATTTGTGCTATTGCATCCAAAGGGGAATCTAGCTCTTGCTAGCTTGTGTAATGGTCTGAAAACAGAGTATTATCCACATTATTACTTTAACGTCCAATAATCGGTATCATGTTTTTTTCTGTTTTTAACATTTGATGATGAAAGTGATTTGTATAACTTCACTGTAACTTTTCTGCAAGATTCCCAGATTGTGCAGTGTGGAGTAGGAATATGCCTATAATACATATTGGTATCAACTTTTTTTTTACTATGTGGGTTAACAACTGTTATGGACAGGCTGCAAAAGGCAGACGTGTGGGGTCACCATAAGTTACTGTGTGTAGTAGGTTTACTGGTGCATTGGTATAAGCCAGAGTATTTGCATTCTGCAGTATTTGCATCCAGAGTTTAGAGGTAAACAGGAAATAATGGCTGATAAAAATTATGAATCATCTGGACACGATGTGCCTTATTGTAGCTAAATTTATAAACTGGACTTTGGTTATGGACATGTAATTATGGATATTGATGGAGCAAATGGAAAACAGTGGCTCTGATAATTTAAATAATACAAAAAATTGTATAAATGGATCAGTTCTGCCACTGTTCCACTCCCATATTCCATTTATATGTATCCATCTGATGGCTTTTAAGATACGAAACACATTTGAATATGCAAGAGCCAGAAAGTCTGGGCTGTAAGACCCAGCAGAATTCAGCAATGAATATAGAGAGCTGTACTTGTATTTAGACAGAAGTAGGAATTAGAAACTACTAAAATCAATGTGGTTTTTGACAGAAAAACTATATTCACTTTATTTCGTAATTATTTTATAGAATTTTGTAGGAGGATGGTGTTCAGCAGTTTACCAGTATATTAACGGGTCATACAAGTCTCGGGTGCTGAGCAAACATCTCCTGTTGAGAGTTTGTAGAAACTGTATGTCTGGGAGTTCAGTAGTTGGCAGGAGTTTTCATAGTTCATTTTTCCTCAAGGTGATATTCTTGGCTTTTGCTGTGTTTGAGACTCAGTTTGTGGAAAGAGGGTTGTGTTTCTGCTCTCTTCTCCTGCTCCTTCTTCCTCTTTCACAGGAGTTCCTGTGAAATGGTGCAGCTGCCTGACACAAATTCCCTGGTGCGTCGCATGGAAACTTGGCTTCTTGGCACATGGAAGGAGCGGTTCTTTTCTTCTGTCCCTGTCTCTGGAGAATTAAATTCACATTTTGTGTTCCTGCTTAGGTTTAGAGCCAAGTTTTTCACTTCAGCTTCCTTCCTCCCCCTGCCCCTCTCTCCTTTCCTTAATTAAAAAGATGCTCAGGTCGAGTGCATATAGCTGCAGCTCAAAAAGGATAAAAATAGCACAGCACAAATGAAATAGCTACACTATTGAAACCTGGACCTTTATTTAGCCTCACATCTGCTGCCATGTCACTGTAATGGAGTTCAAAAGCTGACTGGATTACTTTTTTCAACAGATTAATTCATAATCGCTAAAGTTAAAGGGAAAAAATTTTTGTTTGGAGTCAAACATGGCTTTTTACCGCTTCAGCTGTTCCTTCCATCTAAGTTATTGACAAAGTCATATTCATTCAGTGTAAACAGGAATAGATTTGCTACACTTGTATGTGATCAGTCTCCCTGTTTCCGGGTCTATGGGTACATCCAAACTGAGATGCTGACATCCAAACTGAGATGCTGGCTGCTAAAGCTAATACCCGTGTGACACTAGCTAAAGGGGCTTATTTTCAGCATCTTTGAAAGTCAGCTAATTTATGGAGTACTCAAGGATCTCAAGGATAAGCACTGGTTTTGAGAGTTAGGTGACACAGGTTTTTAGATAATGGATTCCAGGTACGTGTCTACAAAAAGATCAAAAAATCTATCTCAACCCCTTTTGCCTTAAATAGTTTCTGGAAGCCTGGAAGAATCCTGTGCTGGCTCTTCCCTTAGCAGAGGAGAAGTTAATTGCAAAAATTGCTCAGAATAGTATGGGGCAAAGAAATCAAACCAGCATAGGTGGGTAGGACAGCATTTCTGATAAATCACAAATGGCTCTCCTCACGAGGAATATCCTGCAAAATACCTAAACACTTAAGCCCTTATAATGGAAGCTTATAGTTTTTTTTTTTAAAGAAGAAATGGCAAGATGTGAACTAAAGAGTTTTAGAGAAAAGATGGCAATAGATGCTCACACAGCCTGGACTCTATAGTTTTGCACAGATACTGCTCTTGGTAAAGCTGTTATGAAGTGCCTTGAAAATAGTGCTGCTGAAAATACCTTATCTGTGGTTTTGACAGAAGCACTGTTGTTCTCCACTCCTCTGAATACTTCCCTTGCTTTCATTTTGAACTTAAAAACATCAGTCTGCTTTCCCTAATTTAACCTCCTTCACCACAGTGCCCTTTTATAATTTACCCATCTTTTTGTTACTCAGTCATTCCCAGTTTCCTCTGCCGAGCTCACACGATGATCTGAATGGGTTCCTTGAAATCTTCTCTAACAGCATTCTCATAACTCCTTAAGCTCATGGTGCTCCTGCCCTTTTCAATGCACGTTGTCACTGTTTAAGTCATGGGTACAATTGAGGGGCAACAGCCAGTTAAGCAGCCACATTGATGTATATTGGAGATACACATTTAACCAGGGTGCTTAAATGTGAAATCCTTTCTTGCCTGAGCTCTGTCAGGTTTGTGAAGGCTGGCAAATTTGCCAAACACATGAAAAGCAAAAGCAGAATTGATCTTGAACTGCTGAAATAATACCGAAAAAAAAGGGAAAATGCTGCAATATTTGCCTGCATAAAGAGAGGAATATAAAGTATGAGTGTGAAAGACGTATTTTTGAATACATTAAAAATCATTTGGGAATCCTACATTCACTTTCCCTATACACACTGGAAAAAAGCATTGGAAGAGGCTGAGAAGAGATCTAATCTGACACCTCCACTCTAACAAAGGGCTCAGACTTAATTTCTTTTCCCCAAGAGAAGGCTAAGAGGTGAACTGGTTCTTGTTTTTTCCATATATAGATACAAGTAGATCAGCTAAAACTGCTTCTCCATAAGCAGAAATAGCTGTTGAGATCAGTGGCATGACAATGACAAGCGTGAACCAGAAGTGAGATGTGAGTTTGCAGCACTGGGAGTATCACTGGAACATTTTAGATAGGGGAATAATGGATTCACTGTCACTTGGTTGAATGTCTTTCTTAAAAACTTCCCTATACCTCAGCTAGGAGGTCATGGCTTCTGTGCACAGGAATGGATGCTTGAGGACTTACAGCCTGTCAAGTAGTGGTTGGATGGCTCTCCTGGCCTTATACTGTTTGTTATGTCACCTATTCTTGTTCTTTTCCCTTGTTTTACTCATTACACCATACTGAGATTGTCAGCAGTCAGACCTCCCTCTTCTCTATTTGCAGAGCTTCCAATGCTCTGATGCTGGAAAAGTAGAAATAATAAATGGCACTGACGGTTGGTACCAGTTCAAGGAACTCACTTGAGATGCAACTACTGAATATCCATTTATTTATTGCTTTCCTTTTTGTTTTCCTTTTCCACAGTGAAATACATGAGAGAAGCAACCCCCTATGTGAAGAAAGGCTCCCCCGTTTCAGAAATTGGGTGGGAGACACCTCCTCCTGAGTCTCCCCGCCTGGGTTGTGCCTCTGCTGACCCACTGTCGCAGCTTTCGCTCTCCATCCACAGAGACAAGAAGACAATACCGCTCAAGATGTGCTACGTGACGCGCAACATGGCAGTGTCAGACCCTGAAAACAGGTAAGCAGGGGATTTGCCTGGGGCTGGGATTTGGCCTTTTCAGCATTGGGGTGGGTGGACAGGAGCTGGCGATGGGCTCTGGACACACACAGAGCAACCCAGTGAGGGTGGGTGGTGGTGTCTGAGCCACATGGTGCTGGGTTTAGCTTTTGCATTGTATTAGAGAAACCTTTCAGTGCAGTAATCCAACATTTCTATTAGAAATAGAATCTCAGGGGTTCGTTATCATCCTGATAAAGTGTCTGCTTTTGAAGAAAGAGATACTGTACGCAGTAATTGGTTCCATCCTTGGGGCTGGCTTAATCTAATTGCACTAAATTACATTTTCTTTCCTTTTTCAATGATTATTATTTTAAGAATGGCCTGTTTTGTCCATTCAGTTCTGGGTACGTAAGTCAATAATAGGAGAAAAGTTCCACTTAACAAGACACTAATGGGGAATTTCTGTGAATTCTTGGTTTGGATTTTTTTTATAATGCTAAAAATAGGATGAGCTCTTACCAGCTCTTATTTATAACATATGTGGAACAGCTGCACCACACCAGCACACTCTCTGATCCCTGCTCTCCCAGCTGCTGATATAAAGGGACCAGTCAAGTCAATAACACAGACTTGATTCTTCCATCCAAATAATGGCCTTTTTGTTTTCCTACAGTGTGTTGGCTTGCTCAGGAGCTGGGTGTAATGCCTTTGATTCTCAGCACTTACAGAAGGATAAAGGGAAAAAGGAGAGAGCAAAATGGGGTTTGGGGTTCCCTTGTAATCTCTTGCATTGTAATTCAGAAACTATATCAGTATCTATGTAATTTTCTTTTTTTATGTATTTGTCTGACTTTAAGTTCTCCCCAGCCCGCCTCCCGCTTTATTGTTTAGTATTGCTTTACTTTGCTTCTGCCTTTCATCTCACCAAGTGGTTATCACCATAGTCAGTGATAACCAGCCACAATCAGAAGTGGAATTTTAAAAGAGCAATTACCCAAGCAGTTTTTTTCAAGTTGAAATCACGGTGGTTATAGATAGAGGTCACTATTTTTTTTATATATGCATGAAATATATATATATATGTGTGTGTATATATGTATCTATAGCTTGAGATGTTGAGGTTTGACAGCTGTACCACTAGCATGAGAGTCTGGAGTTCTCTCTGCCTTAGAGTGTATTATAAAAATACCCATGCAGATTGCATTGTTTGAATCAGCACCATGTAACGATGCTTTACAGATGTTTGCTTCATTCATTTAGCACTTTTCCCTGCTTTTTTTGAACTATAATGTAGTTCTCAGCTTCTGTCACTGTCCTGGTCCTCAGCTTTGTTTGAAGGCCAAGAGGACTGATTCGGAAGGACACACTCATTTCTCAAGATATGTCTGCAACAGAGCTGACTTTTTCAAGGCATGCTACAAATATGTGTGTTCTTAGGTGTAACTAGGAAGTAACATGTGGGAGAGTCATACTGCTTGTTGTCATGGTTTTAAGTTTTGTTGTTGTCACGTCCTGTGGAAAGAGTGACTTCTGATTTTTACTGCAGTCCAGCACCGTGCAGAGTACAGTCTAAGCCAGATTTTTCCATCTGAACACACAGTACCTCCCCTTTGTGCTAGCTGCAGTGTAATAGCAGCATCCCATCTATTTGCATCTTTACCTATTTCAGGTTTTCTTAACAATTCTGAGTACTGGATCTGGTACTTCTTAGTGGAAATGCTGTAACAATGCAGCCACCCGTTTGCACTGCAATGTATCAGTGGTGCGTTGACTCTGGCTGGATGTTCGGTGTCTGCAGAGCTGCTCCTCTGACATTCTCACTCCTCTCTCTGGCTGCAGTTGTTCCTTTGCAGGAATTTTTCCCCTTCTAAAGTACATTATCCCAGAGCTTTCACCACCATCGCTGCTGAGCTCAGCCTTGGCCAGTAGTGGGTCTGTCTTTGAGCTGTGTGGAATTGGTTCTGTTAGACATGGGGAGCGCTTCTAGCAGCCTGTCAAAGAAGCCACCCCTGTAGCCCCCTCGCTGCCAAAACCTTGCCATGCAAACCCAATATATTACCCCAAGATGGTAATCTGATTCCACAAAAATAGTTTGATCTTCATTTACAGCAGAGCCCAAACCATGTCCTTACATGCTTATGACACTTCTGTTTCATAACCCAGTGACCTGACATACATAGATCTTAGAACTGGTGGTGTCACTTTGCTGGATGGCTTTAAAGAGCACTGCTGACAGGCTGCCAAAGCATGTGCTGTCCATAAAAGGACTCTTCAGGACTATAGCTGAGCTAATTTTCCTCTAAGCCCAAGCGTGGACATAGAAAACATGAGTTTTCCATCACAGGTATTACTCCAGTGCAGACTGGAGATCATGTCATAGCAGGGTTGTGGGACCAGGCTGAACTGGTTTGGTGTTCAGCATGTGAATATATCTGTGCTAAAGGACCCAGAAGGAAATGCCTACTTGTTGGCACTGAATCATCTCCACTTGTTAGAAAGATGGAGTGAAATGTGGGTTTAATGGGACTGAAGGAAGCTACACATATGGTTTTCCCACTAGAGCTGGTAGCCCTGCACAGGATTTCTGCTTCTCCTTGCGGAGTGGCCTCAGTTAAGAGATTCTGTGCCTAGTCTGTGGTGGTTTGGGAGTGAAGTTTGGTGCTTTTAGAGCCAGCAGTTCTCGGATATCTCTTTCACCTAACCTGTCTGTGGGTTCACTCTGAAGGAGGTAGGGGATTGTCTTGCCTGTTACCTGATTAAAAAAGTTTTAAGAGACCAAGAGGAAGATCTTTAATACAAACCAATGCCACATTTAATGTATAGGATTTTTCTTTTTTTAATAGTACAAACATGGTAACAGCAGAAAGGATGCAGAGCATCTTAGTGGCATCTGTGTCATTCTCCTCTAGACGTGGGTGCCATTGTTACATTTCAGGCTGGAAGAAACTAGGTTAAAATAATTACTATTTAAATCTGTCCTTTTACTCTGTTTCTTGGGGTTTTTTACCTGAAATTTTACTGATAAGTGTCTTTGGTGGCAGCATTAAAGTTTAATGTCAGGCTGAAAAAGAGGACCATCCCCTTCCAATGAAAGGGCATGTGAGAGTGGTCTCAGCTAATAATACCAATAAGCAGTAAATCTTACCACAGAATAAAAAGCTTTTCATCAACTTCTAATGTTGATATTAAGGAATAGGAAAAAAAAATAGGTCTCAGGTGAAATTTGCTCTGTTGGTGCTTTTAAAGTCTTGGGACATAATACAAAGGTACTTACATACACGGCACAGGAGACATGGCATTCCCTGGTGGAATGAGGCCATGCTGCATGGACTGAAAAGGTTTCCTCATCTGCTTTTGAAATCACCCTAAAATCCTCCTTGCATTTCATTCAGCCAAAGCCAGGAAGTGTGGGCCTGATCCTGCCAGCACTTAGTGTGCACAGATCACAGTTTTCCACTGCCAGGAGTCCAGAGCAGTGTGATCTTTACAGAGAACTTCAGCTGGGATCCAGTCTTAAGGATCGAGTTACTAGTTGGCAAGATTTGGCCCTCTGATGGGAAAGGTTTGCCTTGGTTTTGAAGCTAGGAAAAAAAGAGCCAAGACAGATTCCCAGCAGTATGGTGCTGGCTGCCAGCTGCATGCAGTGGCAGTGCTGCAGCAAGCACGGTGCAACTTGTAGACTTCACACCAGGACACATGGAGGAATAGATAAGGAACTTCCTTTGTGTTGTCTATTTCATGGCTGGACTGAGAATTACGACTGGAAGGTAGAATTGAGCAGATACGTGTTAAAGGTGATAGAAGAACTGGCTGCTATCAATTCAGTCTGGGCTTTGCACATTGAGCTGCATTTGGGAATTGCCCAAGCTTTCCAAGACAACAGGGAGGTGTAAGACAGACTGAGACGCGTTTCCTCCAAAGGCAGCTACAGACAAGCTGCTTCATTACTTTCATTAATTTTCTTTTTTCATTGATTCATGGAAAGAAGTACTTGCAAGATTTACTGCAGAGCTGTTGCTCTCCAAAACTGAACCTATCCACACATTTGTATTAACACGTATTTTCTTTCATTATTTAATAACATGTCAGTAATGTGCAGTAGCAGGGTCAATGAGATACAACGTTTTGAATTGTAATTGTCGTGTAAGCATTTATGCAAGCATAATATAGCCCTGTGCGATTCTGAAAATGGCATTTCAAAGTATTAAATGCAAAACCAAATTGTGGTGAGTTTGGATGTATTGAATTTTGTTGCAGTAAGGCATGAAAACAAAAGTTGAAGCTTCTTTGAAATGAGAGCTGAGTTTCAGCCAGTTTTCATATGACATAGTAAAAACTAGTCCTTGTGCCAAAACACTTGATCCGTGAATGCTGATAACAAATATAGGAAGCTAGCAGAAGAACATGAAGATGAAATAAAGAGACAAACATCTTTATGTAGAAGAATCTGTGACACTAGCATAGGACTATATACACTATAGAGCACTGCCCAATGATTGACTTTATGAATGCATTTCTGATGCTTCCCATTTTCAGCTGTGAGGCTAATTGATTATTTAAGGCGATGTCTGGAGTGCTAGTGGAAACTCCATGCCTCCTCAGTACAAGATGCATGTAGGTTGGGATGTGCCAGCACTCCCAGGTTCACTGCTGATCCTAAGCCCAACCATTTTTCTTCAAAAGGACTACACAACTTGACGTATTCAGACTGGACATTAGGAATCATTTTTGTACCAAAAGGGTGGTCAGACACTGGAACAGGCTTCCTAGAGAGGTGGCCGATGCCCCAAACCTGACAGTGTTTAAGAGGCATTTGGCCAGTGATCTTAATAACATGCTTTTGCTTTTGGTCAACCCTAAAGTGGCCAGGTAGTTGGACTAGATGATCATTGTAGGTCCCTTCCAACTGAACTAGTCTAGTCTAGTCTATTCTGTTCAAAGAAGGAATTATAGCCATTTAGCTCTTGCACCTCTTCAAGCTCATGCTGGTACAATTTGAGAGTGACCAAGGAGGTGGG